GAGCCAGAATTGATGTTGTAGAAATACGTGGATGATTTCGACAAAAGAGAACTTTATATTGGGATCAGAGCTCCTACAATCGCCAAATAGTTGCCCTACCCAGCTCATTACGATTCTTTAGACTGCCACGCTATAAGCTTGGGCTGTTGGCTATGTTAATCCAAGAATCATTCATTGTGTACGTTGAAGCTCTATTGCTTGTGAAGGAAACCTTCAGTAATTTCTGTTGCTTTCTTGTTGGCAGACTACAGTATAAACGAAGAGCCATATCTGTTTGCGCATCAGATCGGAGCATTTGAAGTACACTAAACAGGAGGAAGCCATGGCCAGGTGATGCGCCAGATGACGCCGAGGATGACCATCCCTTTTTGTAACCAGACTGCAGCTGGCGTAAATATAATCGGAAATACTAATTGGTAATACACACGTGCAACTTATTTAATCTCTCGTAGTAGTAACGACAGAAACATGATTCAGAACCATTTTTGTATGCTTTAAAGCGAAACAAATGAAGTGGCATGTGTGATGAAGTATGGATAACCAAAATAGGACTTACTAAGACTGCAAACTGGCTTCTCTTTGAGAACAAATCGCTTGTCAAACATATTGGACTATCCAACTGAAACATTCTCAATAAAAGGAATATAAAAGTTACTGAACCTCCGAACAACGCTCATGTAATCATTAAGCGTACATTCAGTGAATCCTCTGAGAAACAAATTTCGTCACAATTAGTATTCTACGCAACATTTGGTGATTGAAACGGCGTAACATATTGCTAGTCACAAACCATTAACGGTTTATATTTTGAAATATTCTTTGATGAATATGGATACCATTACATCTTTGGTATTACGGAAGAGCTACCCTGTTTTTAAGCACGTCAAGATAATATATGCATGTAGTAATGCTAGAGGCAGTACAAAACCAACTAATGGTAGAAGGATTCAGAAAGATGGAATAATGTTTTTTCTGTTCAGTCAAAGCTGCACCTTCCTGGCTGTACATGTGTTCCAGGACTGACATTTACGGGGAGGCTGATGTGTATAATGATGGCACGGATACATCGAAAGGAGTCTTCATTGCTGCCAGGGTCTCCAAGAGAGGGTGCAAGACAAACTCATCCCAAGGCGTGTTTTTCTTTTTCTACCCTCAAGAGAACGCCTATCAACTCGCCCCCACGTTGGGTACGTTCCTCTATTTGGATGATGAAGATGACCATTTACAGAAACGAATCATGAAAGATGAATGTTTGAGTGACGTGATTTACTTGAGCTGTAGAAAGGTCTCGAAAGATTTACAAAGGACATAAAATTAATGTATGCTTCATCTGTAGTTGTATCTCTTCATTTGACAATTAGGCAACAGCTAACTCGTTACAATCGTAAACCCAGAGGCTCTATATGTCATGACTGATAGGTACCTACTTATTGATAACAATGACCGTCACAAATGACATGTTGGGATTGACATCATGGACGTGCCGTGGTATCACACACACTCTCATCTTACGTCACTGCATTGACTTTCACCTCAGATCGTGGGAGTATTTTACAAGGCGGATACATAAGGGGCGTTAACAAAGGTTGGAACAACATATCCTTGAATGTTCAGGTAAGCATTAGTTTGCACAGCGTCCTTGCTTTAGTTAAAGATCCTTGAAATACTTCTCCTTACATGTTCAGGAAAAGTGATAATCTCTCCCAGTTTGCCTCGCATTAAAATTAACAAAGACATATGGCATGGCACATACCTGTTTGTGTTTAGGTTAGTCTTTAATCTGACTTCGGCGTCCATAAAATATTTTCTAGACCCAACTGCCCTTCACTTCTAACTGATGTAACGTGTAGGATAGAACTTGCTTATCCGTTTCCCGAAACCTGGTGTCATCAATGGAACTTTACACTACCTCACGAACACCTGGTTTAATCAATGCCATGTTACAGTGATTCACCCAAACCAGGTGCCATGGCTGTATTTATACTGTGATTTGTGAGTGTAGGTTCTTTAGTTTGGATTTTTATCTGATTCAAAGATAACATCTTATTTTACTTGTTTCTCCCCACCGACCGACCCCAATGTAATTCTTTTGGTCAATCCTATTTCCAATTTCTCAAATGTAATTGGCTTAATTATGACGAGGAATGACATATGCCGCAAAAAGTAATCACTTTTTCTTATATCATGGTCATCATATATACAATTTGAATTTAGGTTGGGAAATCGAAATTTTATTAACATAAATTGCGCAATTGCCCTTTTTTCATTTTCAATAGTTTTACAGTTGAATCACACCTCACTGTAATTGCCAATTTTACAACACGGAATGAGTAAGTATGTTTGGAATGTTCACTCGTCAACAAATGTTGAATCGGCATGTGTGGAAAGTCTTATGTTATCACTGGAATGTCACCTACTGTGCAACTGTGTAGTGTTCTACATATTTCAGGGAACAACAGCGGTCGGCAAGGTCAACAATGTTGTAGTGTTCACTTACTCTAACCTCCCGTCTGAACCGAACCAAGGCTTTGTGGCTGTGGGAACAGGATCACTGGGATATGCAGATTTCGACAATGTGAAAATAACGAGTCCTTCTGGAGTCGTGCTTGTTTGACGTCAAAAATAAAATATATCTGAATAATTATACATTCCCACGATTGATATCTATTTTATTCTGAAGATAAGAGTGACATGCCTCAGTAACCTACTTTTTGTGAGCCAACCTGAATTACTTAACTATGTTTACAGCAGATCTACTTTGGCACCAGTCGGTATATTGGTGAGAGGATGCGTGGGTGACTTTAGTTAAAAGCTGCGATTTAATTAGTTTCTCAGTGGTGAAAAAGATCCCCGATGAACAAGTGTCACAGTGAAATCAATTATACATGTAAGGAAAGAAGTGTGAAGCTAATGATTGAAGTCACTGTGATACATCGTCATACGTTAGTAATATCCTCCAAATAGATCTCATGCGTTAACATTCTGTGTTTGTTTCCACTTTGCTTTGATCAACAGCCTGCAAAGATCATGGAGTAGAGAGTTGTACTTATTCCAACTTTTTGTAATTGCCGTTTAACGGATTATTAATCATATTGATTTAATAGTGTGGTTACAATGTCTGACGTTTCCACGGACGGAATAGCTCGTTGTTCATGCTGTGAACCATTGGTTCTGTAGCTGCACAATCGCTGAATGCGGCGTTACACACCATTCACTAACTCTCTTAAGTATGATACTGACACTATGTCCCCTCAACTAGAACTGAACCGTCACAAGTCTTAGTAAGATAGAGATAAACAAGAACATTTCTTACCGAGGTACGGTCTTCTGCTATTTTTCACCCAACCTCAAAATACGGGTGTTTACAGTAACATGCACTCAAAGCATATTGGGAGGTTGGAAGGTGTTTCACATTCGGTTTTTAGCTTTCATTATAACCAGTTCCTTTAAATGTGACACAAGTCGCATTGGCGTAAGGAATCTAGGCTTCACATCTGCGACTGGAATACGATATCATTGTTACCTGTAGATACAAAATTTACTGAACAAACAATAATATGGACGATTTTCAAACTGATCTCTGATTATGATTGTTGAATATCCTGAACGTATTTAGTGACATTATCATGTCACATATTTATCAAGGTCTGCATTGACATGGGACGTCCTGTTCTCAGGATAGAAGTGAAGTAAGACCCATGTGTTATCTCTATGAAGCCTCAGTCATCCACCCTTGCGGCCAAGAACACGCTCTCAGATCTGATAGGTGACGTAAGGTTTATTGATACCTGGCTTTTGGTGAATACATCATATCTGAAGAGAAAGCAGCATGTAGCACCATGTAGCTACTGACTCATGAGAAACATGCTGCTTTCCTTACGAATGTATGTACTATTCCTGACAAGTCACACATAGTTCAATAGCGTGAACTCGCTAACGCATGACGTTGATATGTTTCGATTTGAAAACGAGATATAAGAAACCAGAATCCGTCAAGAAGTGATAATCCCTTTTATCCGAAGCGTTGAATAGACTGACGGGCAAAAGAAGGATACACCCGTGTTTGAGGGTGAGTAAAAATGAAACAAACAAAGTAGCTACTCGATGGTGATGCATTTGATAGTTGTGTTTTGGACATCAAGTTTGCAGTGATTCGGCGACTGTTTTCAAGTCCAATTTTCTTTTGCAAGGAAGTGTAGTATTATTATACAGCACTCGTTGGTTTCATCAAATATAAGAGTTACCTTTCGGCAAATTGTCTCCCTTTATCGTAAGTGCCCGGCCCCAACACAGACTGTTGACTTCCTTTTTACGTTAGTTCCTCAATGACAAGGCAAACAGATGGTCGTTTATGGAGTTTATGTCGGTTCTCGTCCTTTAAAAAATCTCTTGAAAATGTTTCGTTATAAACTATAAATTTCACGTTTAACTCGTAGATCGAGACTGTTCGTTTAAGGATATATTTTCCTGCAAACACATGGTGTCATCACTGATTTTCAGTGATCCATTCATTTAATTATCATCGCTATTTGTACCTTTTATGCTCAGTGCCTCTGAAAGGAAATTGCAAATAATCAAGACTGGTTACTGTCTGGTGTTGACACATGTGAACAGCATAACCAGAAAAAAACGGACACCAATTTAATATCAAACTTTGATTATTTTATTGAACGTTGTGTATAGATAAAGTATTTTTTTTATAACATGACAGCCTATTCACACACACAATACACTTTGGAAGAGGTAACTCTTGAATATCGGGGGGCACGAGTGGCCCAGTTGTCTAAGGCGCCGCGATTCGCTGTGCAGAGTTGCGACCCTTGGGCACGCCAGAAATCTATGATTGTGGGTTCGATTTCCGGTTCGCCTCGATTGTGTTTCTAGGTTTGTCAGCACCATACCCGTGCTCATGGGTTTCACCGAAGTGGTAAACGTCTGAGACCTGCATCACTTCGGCTTTTCCTCCCACATTAAGCTTACACGCCGTGATATAACTGAAATACTGTTAAAAGCGGCGTTAAACCAAACTCAATCACTCACTTGAATATCAGCAAGCAGATGAAAAGGTGAACAAATGACATTTGACCTGATTATACTTGTAAACCTTGTGGTATCGCATGAGTATTATCTGCCTGTCGAAACGCGTAGGGCAGTGTGTTATCACCTACGTAACCATCACCTGCATAGGCACATATACTCGGCCTGTCTGACGACCAATGCAGTTTTTACTACTCTAACATGGGTGTTCTGGGGACATATATTTGGTTGGTTCTGCTATACACATGTAGCTGTCAGTATACTTACCCCGTGGACGACACACCCGGACTAGGCCGGGTATTCAATGGAATTGGTGCCATCAGCGGCGGAGGGGTGAGTATGTGTGTGTGACGTGTGACCTTGTGTGGTTGATGACTCTGTTTGACTGGATGATATCGATGTACTTGGCTTGTAAGTACATGTATGATTAACGGATAAGTATGCTGACTGCTAACAGTAAGAAAAATGCCTCACTAATGTGACTATGTGAAGTTATTCTCAGTAATTGTTTGATAATAATGTTTAAAATTTGAGCTCGTCTACAGTGAATGTGCTATAAGTGTGTCTCATTGTTGCAACTGCACAGCGTTCAATATAAACAGAATGTGTTTATTTTAGGCTACATCGAAACTGTTGGTCGGCTACCCACAACAGCAAAGAGATGAAATCATGGATTTCCTGTTCACCGTAAGGCTTAAACACACTATGACGCACAATGAGGGAACATTTAAAAGAAGCGTCTATTATACACTTTAAGTAGATCCCTAAATTGTATTTCATTAATGTTGCATGGGTACGAATATGTAAAAAAAATACAGTGTGTGATTAAATAAGGCTCTGTTGTTCAATGAATCTTATCATTATTCATGTTGATGAAAACTGGTGAAATATGTACGTGCGTTATACATGTCGAATATAAACAGCTCAATGTACAATTATCCTGTTATGGTTTCAGCCGAACTTTGGAGCATCACTTCATATTTTCAAAGTTGAGATTGGCGGCGATGCCCAAAGCTCTGGTAAGAACGTATGGCCGTACACATATTTATTATATACAAACGTAACAATGCCAAGGAATGAATTCTCGGTACATTTTTATGAAAACAAACATATGTTTGACGTTTATTGTCTCCCCAGAGGGTACGGAGGCCACACACATGAGGAGTCCCGATGACCAGAATTACAACAGGGGCTACGAATGGTGGATGATGAAAGAAGCCAAGAAAGTAAGCTAGTTTCTGACTGCACTGTATATATCCTCCTCGATAATTTGTGATGCCCACATATACCGACGTTATCTAAGCTTGCAGAGCCCGCTCAAAAGGTTGGATTGTTGCTTAACGAAATATTCCAGGAGTATGATAGCGGTCTGTAAATAATCGAGTCTGGACCAGACAATCCAGTGATTAATCTCATGAGCATCGATCCACGCAATTGGGATCGATGACATTCTACAAGCCTAGTCGCCTTTTACCCCGGATCCTTAAGGGTCCGCTCAAAAGGGAATATGATCGTTTTATTGCGTTACCTGTCGCTTAGCCCGATGGCATGGGACGTTGCCAATGATAATAGTCAATCACAGTATGTCTAGTCCTGGTTTGATTATTTACAGGTCATTGTGGTTTTGCTGTCCATCGTCGACCGGCAATCTTATATATTATTTATGTACATGTGTACCTTCTTCAATCGCGACATGGCTGAAATTCTGCTCACTCACTCACTCACTAACTCACTCACTTACTCACTCCGAGGTTTAGTCTTTATCTCACTCACTCACTCACTCACTCACTCACTCCGAGGCGACTCAACACACGTATCACGATCTTCCAACTGATCTCCGCCAATCATTCTGGTCTTGGTAATCAATCCACTGCGTCGTTGCAGCGCGAGAGAAAACTGAATGAAAGCTCATAATACATCGGCTATACCTCTCGTGCAACTTGTGTGAGGGACGTGCCCCCTCTACCATACGCATTGCTTAAATGTACGACAAGGTAGGGTTCGCACAAAGCACATGAACGGAGAACGCCCCCTTACATTTCCTGAGTAAAAATGGACGGACGTCCCTTCTGCACCACATTGTTGCTGTATGTACTCACGGTTGACGGAGGAATGTAATGCATGTCAACACCAAGAAAGTGTTGACAATATCACATGATGTAAACCATGCCATTTTCCTTTTATGGATTTGATATTTAGAAAAAAACAAACAAAACAGGTAAAATTCGAATGCAACATTTCCTAAATTGTGTTGTTATTTCATTGTAGAACTGATTGTATTTCAACGCTCGTTTACAGTCATGTAATCCTATAATCAAACTATATTCATTAAATATATATCATTTCAGCGTAACCCTGACATCAAGCTATACGGACTTCCATGGGGGTTTCCAGGCTGGCTTGAAGATCCTATCGCCAGCGTGTATGGTCAGCCAGAGCGTACAGCTCAGTATATAGCCAACTGGGTGATCGGGGCCAAGAAGTACCACAACCTCACAATAGATTACATTGGGGTATCACAATTTTCTGTTCATATCTATCGCGGATGTGTTACAATCGGGTTTCCTCCCACATTAGGCTGACACGCCGTTATATAACTGGAATATCGTTAAATGCGGCGTTAAACCCAAATCACTCACTCAGGACTGTTTAACTACTTCCTATCCACGATGATTCAGCCATTTAACAATGTGTTTTGAAAGGCATCATGAAACATACCAGTATAAATCCTACAGGTTCTTTTGTATGACCCACTAACTGACCCAAAATAAAAATGTGTTCATGTTAATGGAGATTATATGGTGGTATGTAAAACATAAGGTTGATTCCACTTATGTCTTATATAAAAAATGACCAGAGGCTATATATACTGAACAAATCTTTTTTGGTATCATGAATATTTTAGGGGATATTTGTTTTGTAGTGAAGACTGAGCACTCAATATTTTAAGCATATCCCCCCAAATATTCATGATCCCTCACCTTGTTCAGTATATGTCCAGTATTGTCAGTGTGTGCTGACCTTAACAATCATGTCTACGATGATTCTTCAAACGATATTTCTTTTATAAACTCAACATCATGACATTGCATTTATTTTTTATGACTCATTGCACCTCATATATATATTTTTCTTTTTTCAGTGCTGGAATGAATATTTGTACAACACAACATACATCAAGGTGACGTTCTGTATAAATTGAGATAAGAACGATTGGTAACTTCCCCTTTGTGTAACGCAAGTATGTTTAATGTCAAACCATGTTCATTTTGAGAAGAGCCTCGACAATGAATCACCTTAGAAGTAAGAGCCTCAACGATGCAGCCATTTACACAACTGCAGCGTTCACCTTTCAGACGTTAAGGAAAGTCCTAGACAGCAATGGTCTCCAAGACACGCTCATCGTAGCTGCTGATTACTTCAAATGGGACGACTTCGCAAATGATATTTTGAATGATCCTGAACTTGACAAAGCTGTCTATGCCATGGGGTCAGTATTGACATTGGCTGCTTCTTGATTTCATCTTCTTTTTCCCTTAACACTGTCCCCTTGCACCATAACGATCATTTGTTTAAAAAAAATATAATTTCCCAGTTCGTGATGTATATTATCATTTAATGTTCCAATACCCGTAACAATGTCCCCTTATAGCAGAATGATCATGTATGCGAACCGTAAAGGGGGTATATGTATTTGATATGTTCGGATGAGTAGTGGAAAGTATCGCTTTGTTATTTCAGAGTACACTATCCTCACACTAACAGTACTCCTCTGGCACAAAAAATGGGGAAACCTCTGTGGGCCTCGGAGGATACGTCTGACAGAGGCGTCGCTGTAAGTCAGTCAAAAACAGCGCGACATGTCTACCACCACTCTGTCACTGAATACTCGTATAACGTGTTGTATCCCCTCCCTGGTCACGATATTTGGCAGCATAGGCTATAGTACCCCTCGGGGAAGCCACTTAATGCATAGTGTGATCAAGTGGTTTGGTGGCGTTTCATGCTTTTAGACACTGTTTTGATCCAGACTCGATTATTTACAGGAGTTTTTATGTGCTAGAAATGTGCTGCATGCTGCACTAACGACATTCACTCACTTCTTATCGGTGCTGGACTGTGTCGCCCATGGACACAAATGTAGAAATAATGAATCTCACTTTTTTTTATACTGATGTGGATATTCAGTTTATTTGACACTTCTTTAGGAAGAATCATCGTGTAGCGTTTTAGTCCTCAGGTGTGGCACAATTAACTATGGTCCTCAGGAACCTTTTAAAACTGAAGAAGTTGACATTTATTTGAAAAACACGATATTCTCTGCATTGTATGACTGAAAGAATTCAACATTATACGATCACATGGTCTTCTGGCAGCCTTTTAGCAAAATTGGTAAAACGCAATAGCTACTGCAGCTGAACATCTCTACTTCCCGAATTGGTTTCAGTAATGGATCTTACGGTTCATTAGAACAATACCACTCGCACTTTTCGCCATTTAATTCACGCTCGCGTTAATTTCAAGATTTACAGTACATGATATTGATATATTCGTTGGTCAATTCTTGTTTTCAGAACTGGAACCGAAACTACGTAAACGGGTACATGACAAGGTAAGACAAGATACTTAGATATACAATTTACAACACAATCAGGTGCAAATGGCTTTTACTATTCAGCAGCCGTGCGAATGACTGCACCAAAGTACATATTCAATTCTACAAATACGAAGCACTACGCCATTAAATGATTTGTTTGTTACCCTTCCTCAGATTAAGCTATTTCTCTGTCAATCCAGCACCATCGTTTGGTCAATTGTGTGTAGCTGGTATCCCATGCTGCCTCACTTCGTGTCTGCCCTCATGCTGGCCAATGAGCCATGGAGTGGACATTATGAACTCTATGACTTCTTGTGGCTTGCAGGTCAGTATTAATACCAAGACCCCATCAATGTCCATGGTTCTTTTTCACATTATAGTTGGACTAGTATAATTATCAAATTGACTGAATGAGTCCTAGTCTACCCGATTTATATTCATAACATCAACCGCTGATTTGTTTGCTATGGGATCTACCATAACTCTGAATTGACTATGATGTGAACCCCTGTTTAATCACCTATGGGAACAGACTCACCTATCTTGCAGCTCATACTGGGCAGTTTACGAAGCCCGGGTGGATCTACCTGAAGCACGGATATGGGGTGGGGAACCTGGTGAAAGGAGGCAGCTACGTCTCTCTGGTCAGTCCGGACAAGAAGGACCTTACAATCATCGTTGAGAAAATGGTGAGGCAGTATCATCAAAGGAAATCGGGATCATTTGTTTATTTCCCAGAACGGTTATGAATTGGTTTTCTTTTCACTACCAAACATCGTTGTTTTTGGATAAGAAGGTCCTATTCTTCTTACCTTTAATAGTTGTATTCCTTCGTATTTCCCGTGTACCTCATTCAGAATGTATTAGTCATACTGACTAAGTCATCTGAGGTGTCGCAATTCGTGAGTCGCTCCCCCTTGGCGTGCCGGAAACCTTTGATCTTGGTTTGGAATACGATATTCCCTGTAGATATCATGTTTCTAGGTTTGTCAGCACCATACCCTAGCTCATGGGTCTCGCCAAAGTGAAACACCTCCATCACTAAGGGATTTGCTTAATATTTATGCAATTATCTTAGGTCTGCGCGTGTAAAGAGGGATCCACGTGGTCAGGCCACATTGTTATAACGTTGGCGATCCCAAGATCTATGTGTGTGACCACACTTTGTTACATGTCCTCAACGGAGACAGAAGTCATATCAAAGCGGTGAAAAAGATCTCTTCAAATTACTTTCTGAAGCAAATTCTATGTATATCGTTAATTGCAGCACCAGGAGGACGGCCCTGCAGACATAGGGATGGAGACTATCACATTTCATATCCAAGGGACCTTTGTAAGTTTGACATCCTGTGATTTCACAAATCACTGGCGCACATTCTATTGGCTATGTGCATATATGTTATACAGTTTACATCCTATGGACATGCTTGCAAGATCCAGAATTACCACCTTTGCATATAAATCATAAACATTAACTAGACTGGTTCGTGTATGTTTTATCGGTCATTAAAACTCGTCACTTGAAATGTGAAGTTTCGGTCTGTTGACATACTAATGAAGTTTGTAGTACGTTTTCGTTGTTCTAAGTGTACATGAAAACATTCTGTGTTTCTTTTTTTTTCCGTTGGGAAAGAAAAAAATGAATAGACCTCTTTTCCTGTGTTGCATTTGAAAAGAAATGTGCTGTAGTAGACTTGAACTGCTGACCTCATAATCTTAGGGAACTCTCAATTCGTGTTACCAGCCGTTAATCCATCGTGTTCAATGTATACCGGGTTTGTGCACTGATGATGAAATGTGATCTTAATTTGTTTTATATGCACAGGCACACATTACTCAGCTCAACTGTTGGAAAACATTTCTCTCCTCTTATCCAGGCGATTATCAGAATTTCATGAAAGAATTTCCTATTCAGGTAAGCAATATTCATATTTCATATTCCTAAGGTGGTAAGGAAATATTTGATACAGATAATTTCTATTAATAATCATGCTGTAAAATATATTGACTCTATGATATATTAATTAAAGAATGCATACGATTTTTTCTGTTCCCGCCTTTTTCAGATTTAACGTTTTCAGTTTCAAGATTAGTTCTGCTTTTTCTCCTCACGGATCCAAATAACAAAAAAGAATGTTGGTTTATACTTAGAAGGTCTGCGGTTTTCATAGTGAATATTAATGGATCAATTCTGATATCTATGCGTTTTAAGAATGAGAGTTTTGAATTAATATTTGATTGGAGGTACATTTTCATGGAATATTATGTCAATTCCAATTTGACTTTACTAACAGGTTGTAAATGGAATCTTTAATCTGACTATCTACCCGGCAACAACCTTCACCCTGACGACGTTGACTACGGGAAATAAAGGCGAACACCCGAAGCCCCCAGATTCCGCCCCCTTTCCTCTCTCCTATACGGAAGACTTTGAGAGTAAACATGTTATTTATGTTCATTATGCAATTCGAAAGTCGTGTATTGGAAGGGTTTTCATGAAATAATTTGATTCAATCTGTCTCCGATACAAAGCGATGAAACTAAAATCGTCAAGGATACGACATTAAATGTTAGACGACATGTGAATTAGTTTTCAGTTCAGGCCAAGGAAGCCTCAGCAAAGGGACGCCGTTTCACGATAGAAATCTTAGAAAATACGTTAATAAGCAAGTTTTGATCCATTGGCTATAATATTAGCACGTTAATTTAAAAAAAATTAAATCTGAATAAAGAATAAGGTTTTATGCATATGTTATTATACAAGTTATAAGCTTGACACGGTGAGCAATTTGCAAATATATTTGTAGAGCCAGGTATGAATTTGGGGGACATGTTAATTCTTAGCGCAGTAAAACCACAGCGTATAACATTTTACTGTTTTTATTGTATAAATTTCTATCTTAGAAAAAGTCAAATAATGTAAATACAAACAAGCAAACATTCCCAAGAGTGAAGGTTCAAATCTTATCAGTAATTGTATCAATCTTGACGTTTTTTTAAATAACTGATTATCCTTGTGATGTACTTCTATGATTATGTTTCAACCTACAGCGGTTATAACACAGTTTTCGTACACTGTTTGAAAGTAAATACTTTCTCAGGGTATCCTATTACAAACGCATATTGGATATTAGTTTTTGCTAATATTTAGATAACATTCAGACTATAGGAAAACTTGCATTACGATAATTTGATCATTTCAGAGTATGAGGAGGGTGAAGAACCCTATTATCTGGCCCCACAGACTGGGTCGTTTGAGGTCAAGGACGTTGGAGGCGCTCATGGAAAGGTCATGAGACAAATGACCTTGCAGAAACCTGTATCCTGGTGTCAAGCAGATTTTGTTGAGATGGGCGTAGCCGTTGTTCAGACTGGCTTGTAAGTGATATTTCATTGTAATTCTATAAAGTACATTTTGTGACCTGTGACCTGGTGTCAAGCAGATTATGTTGAAATGGGCGTGGCTGTTGTTCAGACTGACTCGTAAGTATTATTTCAGTGTTATACTATAAGTATATTTTGTAAACAACGCAGCTTATTTTTTATACTGCCTCACTTCTTATAGTTCCTTTTTTCCCTTTGTCTCTGTCGAATATTGATTCCGGGTGTCATTGTTCATGATCCAGCGATAGTGACGTCATTGAGTGTGACATTAGAGTGGAATCCGGAGCGCATGCTTCTAAGGGAGCTTTCATCGCCGCCCGCCTGGACCAAGGAGGATGCTGGCTTACAGAGGCCAGGGGTGTCTTCTTCTTCATCTTCCCCCAGAGCAATATATTTATGGTTACTACCGGAGCTGGTATGTTATCTTGTTCATACCGGGGCATGACAGTTCATTATGGATCATGTTCTATGTATAGATTGATCGAACATACGATAGAATCACAGACCGTGGGTGATTGTGTGCCAGCCTACTGGAGGCCCCGTGGTCTAAGGCGCAGGGAGATGTTTCCCGTGGGTTCGAATCCCAGATTCTCCCTGATAATGTTTCTAGGTTAGCCAGCACCAAATCATGCCCGTCGGTGTAGCCAAAGTGGTAAATGTTTTAAGATATGCATCACTACCACATCCAGTTGACACGCCGTGATACAACGAATAAGTACATTTTGCAGATTGCGTAGCTTTGTAATTCTTCGTCAATGGTAGTATATTAATGCTATTAATCCTTCTTCTTACATATATGTATGTTCAGTTAGGTCAAGCATTGTTAGCTGTGCATCTCTGTGCAGTTCAAATGATTTTGATACTGACTTGTCGCCACACAGCTGCGGGCTGTCCCATTGTGTTTTCCGGATAGATTCCCGATTTGGAACATTCTGCTCTAACAACCCTGACATAGTCACTGTACCTGTATCGTAATCCCACAAAGACGGCCTCACGATTCGCTTCCTAAAACACTTGCCTTCAAATAAGAGTTCTTATATTTTCGATCATCCACCTTTCTGTACCTGTCGGGTTTGGATCATCGAGAGGGTTGTCACTGAGAATTATTATTCACAGATCTGTATATGAAACCTGTTATGATTCCTAGAACCTCAGCACCTGGGCCACTTCCACAGTTGGGTGACACTCCGTGATGTACCTGAAACATACCATTGATAGTGTTATTTCAGCCATCACACGCACTAACTACTAATGCTATCTATAATTATCATGATACTCATGAAACATTGATGCTATAAAGCTTATGATAATCATGATCGTATTGGTATGTAGGATGCTACTTGCTATGATACGTATAGTATAGTATAGTATACGTTATAAATAATACTAGCAATGCGTATTGACATATCAACACTTTAATAAACAGAAAATGATCGGATACAGGATTAAGATGATGAATAAAGTTTGCTTTCACATTGTTTCAGACATGCAAACGGTCTTGGCATCCGGAAGGATGCTTGTCGATCTGGAGTGGAACACAGTGTCACTCAATCTCGTGGTATTGACAATGTCTGTTTTAAGTGAATTACGTATATGTATGGTATAACTGGTAATCAGAGCCACTGTGGTATATACCATCTACTTTAATGCGGGGAAAAGACATGAATACATTTTAGATGTCCTAAAGATATATATGGTAACTAATTTTAATTGTTTCGATGTCGGGTTACATTTAACTTTATTTGCGAAACATTACAATATGTCAACCCAATAAGCGTGACCATATAAATGCTTTTGAAACGGTTTTGACTTTAATAGTGTAGTATCGACTTAGATTATTAAACCTTTTTGACTATTATTTATTGAGTTAATTTTGTAAGTCTGACAACATGCAGGATGCATTCATCCTTTCCCATTTTTCAGGATACTCAGGCAGTTGGTTTCATAAACGGCAACATGATGTTCAACATTACTGTGCCATCTGATATCAAATATGGCATGGCGGCGGTAGGATCGGGGTCATATGGTTACGCCGACTTCGACAACTTGAAGATAGCAGTACCATTTATGTAGTTCATATGAATAAATGAATATCTTGAAACGAAGGATTTTATTCCGTTACCATTGAGTATATCCCTCTACGTTCTGCCCGTGGAATTATCGTATCTCATTGGAAACTTAAGCGCGACATTGGCTGAGAATATGTATATATATTACACGAAATAACATTAACACTGAAAAATGCTAGATATGATATACCTCCCAAAATGTTCAAATTATTCATTATGGCGGGGACTAATTAAAACATGAAACATTTGTTTTAGTTTATCATGTAGACATGGAATTTTGGTCACTGTATCTATTCATTATCATCTTATGTCGAGTTAAGGTGAATGCATATCACCTGGGTCATTGTTAAGTGTACCGATATTGTATCACGAGTCAAAGTACAATACTTCGTCTCCGTGCAGCCAGAATCTGACCTTGGAATGATACCGGCATGCGCACTGTACGTGAATAAGAGCAAGATATGCGTATGATAACATTAAAGCATAGCGTGATATACTATACTGAACATCAAAAGTCCCTGGGACATTGAATAAGATTTAATGCAAAGTTATGTTTTTTACCAAATCTGAAACAATTTCGGTTTGCAACGAATAACAGACTCCTGTAAGTGTTCAAATGGTTTAACTTGCCATACTGACTTCAGAAAATGCGTGATTTCATAAAGAAACATGAACATGCCAAAATGTCAGTTTACAAATCAATAGCGTGTGTGTCCACCTCTGGTTGCGATGCAAGCAACACATCTTCGTCTCATGGAATGGACCAGTCGTCGCACAAAGTCCTGTGGGATATCTGTCCATATCTCCTGGAGCATGTTTCGAAGTTCCTGGAGTGTCTGTGGAACACGTGGTTGACGTCGAAGGCGCCGATCCATCTCATCCCACATGTGCTCGATTGGTGAGAGATCAAGAGAGAGAGCCGGCCAGGTGATGACATTCACGTTGTTTTATCGAAGAGAATCCTGAACAAGGCGAGCAATATGAGGCCAGGCGTTGTCATGTTGAAAGGTAATGCCTGGGCCATGACCACGCAAAAACGGCAGAACAACAAGGCCGATGATCTCGTCGCAGTAGCGCTGTCCATTGAGATTTCCCTCTACCACTATCAAACGGGTCCTCTGTCTTGCTGTAATCCCCTCCCATACCATAACGCTGCCGCCCCCGAACCGATCTTCTTCCATGACACAATGATTGACGTAACGTTCACCTCGACGTCGGTACACTCGAATCCGTCCATCGCTGTGGCTGAGGTGAAAACGAGACTCATCATTGAATAGAACTAGTCCCCACTGCATGACTGTCCAGCGTAGACACTGACTGCACCACTGTAGACGTGCTTGACAATGGGACGTCTGGCGGGTCTTCTGGCGACAATCCCTGCACATCTGAGGCGACGACGTACGGTTTGTGAAGATATTCGTTGAAGGCCAAGGATGCTTCTTGCAGTCACTGTTGCTGAATCGATTTCGTAGGTGTGTTGTTCGAATCCAGTTGTCTTGTCGATTATTGGTTACGCGTGGCCTGTCACTCCGAGGATGGTCTCCGACTGCATTCGTCTGTTGCCAACGTTGCCATAAACACCAAATGGTGTTTCTGTGGACGTTAAATTGTCTTGCAACATCTCGTTGACTCGATCCTGCTTCAAGTATACCAATGGCTCGCAGACGCTCATTTTCGGACACGCGTGGCATTTCGTAATGTTGAATAATTGCGTAATTTTGTTGTATTTCTGAGTGGTTGTTGTCGGCACGATGCTAAACAATGCATATGGAATCCCGTTAACGCACATGTTTTTATACCCATTCTTGGGTGAAATGCATGGGGCTTGCATAAAAGTCAAGTTTTGCATGGAATGCATGCTTTTCTGTAGCAGTTGCGTTTTTGTGACTTGATTCCATGTACTACAATATTGAAAACCAAACTTTACTTGTCTGAAAAATACACTAAAATATTGGTGTCACAGGAACTTTTGTTGTTGAGTATATTTTGGTATATTACTCAGCAACAAAAAAACCCAAAAAAACCCCGCAAAAGTGATTTTAGATGTATATTTTATATAAATAATATAGATTATCAACAGGTAGTAATCGTTTGTTCCAGCTTGGCACACATCTTGCCTTAAAAAGGCTGTTGTTATTCTTGCTCTGTGAGGTCGGGCGTTGTCTTGTTGGAAAATGACCATCGCTTGTTGCATAATGGGAAGGAGATGTGGCCGAAGAACCTCATCCGTGTAACATTGTGCCGTTAGATTCCCCAGATCTTGCACCAAGTCTGTTCTACCAAATCTGTCTACTTCCTGCATGGAACGTTTTCCGCGAAGCCCCTGTAAACACGATGGACACCATTCGCAGGCTAAAGCATAAAACAGGACTTGTCACTAAAGAAAACGTGTCTCGGTCGCAGTTGTGGCAACACTTGACACCACTGACGTCGCAGCCGACGTTGCAGGTCCGTCAGAATGACACCTCGAACTAGTAGTCTAGCATTAATACTTTCAGCACGTAAACGGTTCCTCACTGTCTGGGCTAATATCCTACACAATCTAGGTATTGCCGTAGTTGAACAGGTGTCCGTTCTGGTTCTTTCACGTTATGGATCTGTCCTGTGCTCAATTAGTGATACGTGGTCGACCGTATCGCAAACTTCACGTGCTGTCCCGTGTGTCTGATAACGGTTTCACATTTTTTTAATGGGGTTTGTATGATTTTGTTTTTGAGTGTAGCTGTCATGTATTCACATATTTATACTCGGGAATATGCACGCTCGTGCGCCCTGCCAAACACAACAGAGGTGAGGTGAAATGGGGTTTAACGTCGCGTCCAAGATTATTGCACTTATATATATATATTGCGACGTGCATGCACGTGTATGTGTGTGTGTGGCTGCTTGTACTAGTCCGGACTTATGCCGATTTATAGTGCTAGCTCACTGAGATACCATGCCGCAGTTTAACATGAATACCCCACTCTGACACAGTATACCGACTCCGTGCTGACAGTCTTTGTGTTAGCCCCTTTATGCCGAGCGCCAGACAGCGTAACAACAAGTATAATCTTTTAACGTCTTTTGGTATGACGCTCTCCGGGCGGACGCTCTACCACTAGACCACGGAGGCGGTCCAAACACAACAGAACATGGAAGGAAGCCATCATAGTTTACTCAGACAACGCATAGATACATGAATAGAATTCACAGATCTTACCAGTTTGTTGTACTTGGCACACAGACACACAGACACCTCTCCATGAATCGCAAAAATAATGATTGTGATGACAATAAACGCAAAAGCCAAAGAAATCAGATCTGGCGGTGAGACTCGGAAACTTGGTTGATAGCCTGTCGTCGTACCCCGACGGCGTGGATCCTTTTTACAGTTTGAATAACTGGATTGTCTGATCTCGATGCGATTATTTATCATCCGCCCTGATAATAGCTAGAATATAGCTGAATATGGCATTAAACAACAAACAAACAATTGTATTTTCACTTTTGGTTCGTTCTCCTAACCGTAATTTGTGGGTGATGTATCATTAGTGTCAAGCATGTGTTGGAACACCTAACCCTGAGCTTGAAAGACACGTGCTCATGAAGTGATTGTGATATTCCGACCTCTGAATGAACTCGACAGCCAGATGTTGATATCAGCCTGCTTGGAATGTAAATATCGCAGGTTTATCTCCTAGATCTTGTATTTATCCCCTGTGTGATAACAAAATCACTGTAAGTCATAACCGCCAGATCAACGACATTGAGAAGATATGAAAAATTCATACCATTTTCTTATAAGAAAATTAAAACAATAAAATCGTTTGATAGGCGAGATGTCACGATGTGTGTATTCTTCGATATTACGAAAGTTCATGATATAGGAATGAGGCGAGGGCTATAGGTTTGGAATTAGTTGCGTAATATCCAGGCATAAGACGGTAGGCGGCTTTTCTGCCTGAAATAACTATTGAAACTGGAATAGGTCAAAATTGTCGGAATTGTTGACTATGTATTACGACACAGGTAAATGGCGTCAGTCCTATGTTTTCCAAAAGAAACACCTTATCAATGACATGTCATGTAATGCTGACGCCCTCCAATTTACAAACATTCTAATTCATACAGATATGTCTTGTTTTGATTAGATTTGTTAATACTTTGTTAAATAATGATTTAAGATGATTCAAGCACCATTAGTAGCAATGGTACTTATTCTGATAAAGATGACATGATATGTTACAATTATGCTCACCTTAAGCAAAGAGGAAATACAAAGTGCTTTAGATTTATTTTAGGCATTTTTGAACCAGAAACTCGACTAGGTTTGATCAATAAACTATATGGAAATAAATTCAGCAAACACTACAGATTGACATTGTCACACATTAAAAAGGAAATTGCACAAGGGGATATTTTTGTGCAGGCAAATAATGATTGATAAGATTCTCAACTATTGTATGTGTGACATCGTCTGGATGCCAGACAACGTAAGTCTTGTTGAAAAAGTCGGGACTTACATGGTCCACATTATTCTGTCGTAGTTCACATGCATTCTTGGAATGTTTTGTCCAAACAATGATAGAAGCGCCAGCTGTTATACGTTTATCACACCACATTGTACAATGCGCACAGACAACAGGTAAATTCGACCTCATATTTTATCAAGCATGTTTTTAATGAGTTGTAAAAAATCCATTGGTTTCTCCACTTGTCCAGCAACAACGGCACACTGTAAGTGATGTGCAACCATTATGTCCTACTTTTACATATGCACTTCTAACCTATTAATTTGGCTGATTACATATCTAAATACTAGTATATCTACAAGCTGAAGAACAGCAATATTTTGTTTTGTGATTGTCGTTTCACGCTGCAGTCAGCAATATTTCAGACACACAACAATGGTTTATGAATATTCGATACAGCGCCAGGCCAACCAGTGTTTGAAAGCAAGTCCTATTACATAATGTCACAATACATATTGTGCTTTTGAGGAAAGGCCACAACTATTGACGTAGCAGCTGTTAATGTCTCGTGGCATTAGATAAGACTATGATAACGAAATAAATATAAGACCTTGTACCCCGACAGACATAATCATACATGTAGGTGTTTGTGTAACATGTTCAGAAATGTTCAAGCTTCGTTTTACCGTATACATTTTATTACCAGTCCTCCTAAGTTTAGTACAATGGAAATCGGGTTGCTCGTTTGAGATGTATAGTTTTGACGACACCCCTGGCCTGGGTCGTGTCTTTGATGGGATAGGAGCCATAAGCGGAGGTGGGGTAAGGTGCTGTTTCTTATAGTCTACACAGCCTATATACTGGTAACAATATATTCTAGATATTTGGAGTTTTCCAACAAACAATATGATTGATAGTAATGATACATTTATTAGGTTTCATAGCGTTAGGACTTGAGGCGTGAGTGGTCATTATGAGTGACCTGCTTGTCACCATTATCCTTCGACGTGGATTGTTACTCATACAATAAATCACCGGTTTGTACGGCACACACATGATTAATTATTAGCCATTTGAATTTGATGTGGTTGTAAAGAGTGCAGCGTAAATCTACATTCAATGACAAAACCATAAGTACGTCACTGCCTGAATCTGAATCTCATAAACACTCAACCTTCAATTGGAAACATTCCATAATCTAGCACCACTACTCCACCTCTGCCATAACCCTCAATGTGTATCTTCTTGCAGGCAACATCAAAACTATTGATTGGATACCCTGATAAGCAAAGAAATGAGATTCTTGATTACTTGTTCAAGGTAAACCAACCAGAATAATCCTTACATTGCCCTGATCAATGACCAACGAATCGTATTCATGGTACAACAAACGTGAAAATAAATCATGTTTTGTAATACTAACATAGTACCTTCATATTTGAACATGTTTAGCCTTTCCTCTGCAAACCTCTTTCAGCCAAACTTCGGAGCTTCGTTTCAAATTCTTAAAGTTGAAATCGGGAGTGACGGGGGCACAGTTGATTTCATAAACATATATTTGATGGTGCTAGTGAATATTTGTTCAGTTAGCTTACATGGACTTGAGCTTGCCTGTTATTCCATTTTGCAAAACGAAAGTGGCAAAGGACACGAGTATATATCCATGACTTTAGCAGCAGCGGATAATGACATGTACTTATTAAATATGTTCTCATTTTCCCTTTAGGAGGAACATTACTCCTAGAGCTGCAGCCGTTACTGTTTACATTTCACCACTTCTGACATACAACCTAGCATTCTTTTTCTGCCAGTAGTTCAAAGAGTGTCATACGACTCTTGCTCATAAGTTGTTTGATCAAGGTTAGACCATTCAAGGCCTCAGTGTAGCTTTCAGAATGTTTTATGGTAGACACGTTAATGACATTTCCAAATTTGACGCATCAGTGACAAAAATGCTGTCAGATGCAGTTCCCGCTTTTGATTGTACCACATGTTCACGCGAATAAAAACATTACAATAACATGTGTTCACATTGCATTTATATATATCTTTAAGATGGGACCGAGTCCACCCACATGAGAACACCGGACGAGGAGAACTTTGAGAGAGGGTATGAATGGTGGCTTATGATGGAGGCAAAGAAGGTACAACTCTGGATGCAACGATGTCGGATATAGCGAGCATGAAGCCTTATCTTATCAGTAATTTAGTAACATATAAATTATGCCTCACTGAAAACATTAACATATACACTTACATATATATACTATTATTAGATACATGTACATATTTATCCCAAATCCTTGACATGATAAACGACATATTTAGTAAAAACCAAGTATTATTTCATAACATCTGGTAAACCGCATTGATATTATTCAGGTCCTCCGCGACTGGAAATTGAAATTAACTCATTTGATGATCACATCTTCTCTTTTCGGACATGAAATCAGCTGATTCATCCAGGAAATCGAACAATGTTTATTGCTGTGTTGGCAATAATTGATTTTAATTGTTATTATCTCTTCAGCGTAACCCAGACATAAAACTATATGGCCTCCCGTGGGGATTCCCTGGCTGGGTTGGAGGAAGCACAGGAAACATTTATGATGACCCTGATCGGACATCTATGTACGTCGTTAAGTGGATAAACGGGGCTAAAGTTCACTACAATCTAACAGTGGATTACGTGGGGGTATGTAAAAAGGAAATAATACATAGCTAGTAATGCTGTTTTATTAATAATAAATTATTATATGATCACAACACTCATGCGAATAGCAATGATGGTGTAACCTTAAGTTCAGCGTTGATGTTCTGTATATGTTCGAATGATGCCACTCGCCTGGTGGAGGCAACATCCGACTCCTGATAAAGACATGTAAATGCCCCTTTTTCAAGAAGATATGCATTGATCATCGAAATATATTCTGTTTCGTTCCAGATCTGGAATGAGAGGATGTACAACACAACATATATTAAGGTCAGTATACAGTCTTTGATAAACGTGAAAATCAGGGTAGAGAATAGGTCTTCATCAACCCATGCTTGCCGTCGAGACGACCATGGTTGTCGAAAGAGGCGACTAACGGGATCGGGTGGTCAGGATCGCTGACTTGCTTTGATGTATGTCATCGTATCCAGATTGCGTAGATCGATGATCAAGATGTCAATCACTGGATTGTCTGGTCCAGACATAGCTTGAATATTGCTGAGTGCGGCGATAATGGCAACCAAACAACCATAGAAACTGCAGTCTGTGACAAGATGCAGTAATACCATATTACATATTATATAACAAATATTCCTCATTGATGAATGTACATTTTTCTTTGTGTTTTTCAGACTTTGAGAAAGAACCTTGATGCAAATGGTTTACAGAGCACAAAGATCATCGCTGCGGATTATGCTAGTTGGTACTCCTGGGAGACACTTACAGAGGAAATACTTGCAGATCCGCAGTTGGCAGCAGCAGTTTATGGCATAGGGTAGATAGTAGTAGACATGCACAACCATCAGGGTACAATGGCACACTAAGGCAGCCAGCCACATCGTGATAACTGATAATAATCTCTATGTTGGAAAATTCACATAAGGATATTCATAAACGTTGGCCTGTGACAGGAGTCGCTATTAAGAATTATTGTTAATCGTTAATAAGTGTTTATGCTAAATCTCAAGGATTGAAAAGTTCTGCTAGCATATAGTTGCAAACATTTAAAGAGATGAACTTGAAATAACAGGGCTTGATTGTATTGGTCGTGATGCGGAGACATTTTTTGCAGGGTGCACCATGCTGAAACCTATTCCTCCGCATCTGCCATTGCCACGGGGAAGCCACTTTGGGCGTCAGAGGACTACAGTACCTTCAACAACCAGACGGGGGCGGGATGCTGGGCCAGGGTGAGTGGTCTTCATCAATGATGAGTTCAATTTCTTTTTCTTAAAAAACAAACACAAATGTGTATTTATTTTTCTGCATAAATTATGAAACTGACATATGAAATTATTGAAGTTGAAAGCATAGTATTTTTGTAAGAAAACTGGCAGAGACGAAACGAAAACTTTCATGGTGGGATTTTTAACTGAATAACCGTGATTTCTAATTTGTTTCATATTTTGCCAACATCAAACTTGGGTGTATACTTTCTTCTGCAAGGCAGTCGATTTTTTTTAGGAAACACCTGAGATGACAAGAAAACATCCCGGTGATATTTGTCATTTAACTCTTAAATCGCAACAATTATGCAGGATGAGTAATCACACTCATAGTAATCAACATTCACATTCTCGCATGTGTATTTTTACCGAATCAGAGTCGAAGGAGTAGCGTTGTGGTTTGATTCTATTCCCATTTCTGGATGCCGTGTTTTTGCTTGAATGGTGCTGAGGGGGGAGTAAAATCACATTCGTGTTTTTTTTCTTTTGCAGACACTTAATCAAAACTATGTAAACGGAAATTTGACTGGGTAAGAACATTTTCATTTTGAGGCTTATTGTCAGAACTTTCATATCAGTTATTGGGAACATGAAACAGTTTGACAGTCAGCTGCGCTTGAATAATGCAATTATATGAAATAAGACAATCATATTTGATGTACTTAAACTACTGATGGATGCTAATTGCATGTATACCTCTGTTTGTGGCTAGCTGTATTGCCTGGGCGTTGATAACAAGTTGGTACTTTGACCTTCCCTACTTTGGTCACGGCATGATGAACGCATTTGAGCCGTGGAGTGGTCATTATGAAGTGTCCAGTCCTATATGGGCCACAGGTACGTGGCGTTGAGGTATTTATCTATTTTGGGGGCACAAAGAAATGGTCATGATCGAAGTATATCTTTTTAACGTGAGAACGTTGTCATCACACATCTGACACATTCCGTAGAATTCTCTCATTCCCAAGCGTTGAAATATTTTAAAGGTTTATATTTGAATTTCATAAAGCTCACATAAAATAAGATGCTTTCTGATGCTGTCTTCGTGTTTTTATTTCCTTTTTGTTGATTCATAAATTGACTTTATGAAAATACATTTGACACAATCCATGGGTTTTTATGTAGTTTAAAACATGATATGTTTTAGCCCACACAACACAGTTTACCCGAGTTGGGTGGAAATATCTGAAGCACGGTTCTGGTGTTGGGAAACTGACTCGAGGAGGAAGCTATGTTTCACTGGTCAGCCCCGATGGCAAAGACTTTACGATCGTTATTGAAACAATGGTAAACATGTCTGATGTTGACATTTGCACGTCTTCTTTATTACCTGAATTAAGATTTAGTTCGGGATATAATAACAGCCTTTAACGAGTGAGAACGTCCATCAAATTGTCACTAAGATGACACGCCACTTATTAAACTTCATATGGTATATGTAGTATTTATTCTGCTTGTCTCACTAAAATCTAGAAGGTAGGAAAGGATCAGGCATGGTAGGGGCGAGGCCCACTGGAAATGTAAAATGTTGGAGTTTATCGGAAAAGTTCAAATGGCCACGTATGGCTAAAATGAATGAAAACTGCCAATTTTTAAAACTTTAAGTAAAACTCTAACTATGAGTAAGTCCTCAAACCAAGAGGATTACTTTTCACATAAGAATGTACTGTCGTGATCTCTTAGTTACTCTGAGTCAAAGACTTGCTCACGTTCAAATATTAGAAACATCAGTCACTTAAAACCTCAATAATCATCATTTGTAAATATTTTTGCCTTACCTCTCTGTTTGGTAACTTTTGTAATTATTGCTAAAGGATTTGCTCATTTCTTAAAAGAAAAAGAATCATTATAACGTTATAACGTTGCCACCTTCATGCACGTCTTTCATGGCCCTTCGTGGGCAGTCTATAATCCAGAGCTATACCCTTCTGTCCTCTAATCTCATTACTCCGAGAGCAGAGATGACTTTGCAGGTCGCTGTTTACACGAAGACACGTTTTATTTCAGAGTTATGATGGATCATTGTGTTTCCACCCGAATATTAGCAAATGGTACGAAGTTTCCCCGCAGAACATCACCATCGTTTTCGATGGAAATTTGGTGAGTTTTTGCTCCATGCACATATACGTATTTAAAAAAACATGTTCATAGCATGGATAACGTTTAGAGATATCATTTTGGGTTATTTTCCAGGCCGGCATAACGTACATGAACTCGTTCTTCACACAACTGCACACTGCCGGCGAACCAACCATCTTCAAACAATTGGCTCCTATGAAGGTTATTTTTCTTACTTTTGTCATCTTCGGACAGAAACGAATTGGATATAGAACAATATTTGGCCACTTTCCGTGTTGTAGAAATCAACCTCATGGTTCATTTGGTGGCGAATGTAAAGAATTGAATACCCAACAACCTCCCTTTTGAGTTCTCGTGTAGAAACTGGTGGGCGTCGTAGTTGATTAATGTAAATCGAACATTATGCCTCATGACATATTTTAAAGTGTCGAACTATGACAAAGATGCCTTCAATTAAGAGATACTCATTGATGCCATGGTGTAGTATGACCTCTGTATAACGTGCTGTTT